ATTCATTCAGTGGAATTATACAAAAATGAAAATGATAAAAATAATCAACTGATGATTCATGCAACAATGTGGCTAAATCTCCAAAACTTTATGCTGGGTAAAAAAAAAAAAAATATCACACAAATAAGTTCTTACTGTTTGATTCCATTTATATGAAGTTCTAAAAAAGACAAAAGTAATCTATGATGAACAAAATCAGAACATGAGTTGCCTCTGGAGATGGAAGTTGGAAACAAAGACGACTAGAAAGGAGTTTGCTGGAATCTTCTGGGGTGGTGGAAATATTCCATATCTTGATAAGGGTTTAGGCTACTCTACAGGTGGATTTATCTGTCAGAAGTAATCAAATAATACATTTAATATTTAGGTGTTTAATTTTATGTAAATTTTACTTTTTAAAAGGAGCCTATTAACCAATGTGGAATCCTTTTTAATGATATGAGTGCTGAAATGTTTGCAGGTTAAAAGTATTGCTGTCTACAACTCGCTTTGAAATGCATCAAAAATAAGATGTCCCAATGGTTAGATATTCCATAAAGCAAATATGGCAAAATGTTAACAATTAGAGAATCTAGGCCATGGAAATATGGATGTTTGCTACATAATTCTTCTAAATTTTCTGTGTTTGAAATTTTTCATAATAAAATACACAGAAACAACTGTATTTAGTTAAATGTATAGAGATTAAGGACATTCCTAAATCCAGCATATTCTTAGGAAGAATATCAGACTGGTGGAGGGAAACATGAATTAAAGCAATGCTATTCAAAGACAGCTGTATAATCTTGAGTACACTCTGTAACCTCTCTGTACCTCATTTTACCAAGCTACAAAATGGGTACAATTAATAACTACCTTGTAAATTTGTGATAATGATGGGAAAGTCTTGGTTTTCAGTGAGTAATAAAAATACACCATCTAATTGATTGTCACTTACTGCAAGTCATGGTTAAGTTTTGCTTCTTTTTTCATACCAGATTATGTAGTGACACTTAATCTCCAAAGGTTGTTAGGATAATTAAATAAATGAATACATGCAAAGTGCCTAACATAGAACCTAGGAAAATAGATAGTGATTTAAAAATACATAGAACCATATAAAAAAGGCTGTGTTTTCTTATTGGTGGGTTTTTTTCTGTCAAAAACAATTGAATATTGATAGTTTCATATGGTTCAACAATGTGTCAATATGAATATAAAATATATGAGGATGAGGCATAGGCAAATATTCCTAGGAAACTCTCTCCAGAGTTGACCCACAGTGTTCAAGCAAACATTCTGGCATAGCTTTTATGCCTGAGCAAGAGCTCTCTTAGGCAACTTTGTTAAATGGCTGGCTATTGTTAGGAAGACCAACTCTTCTTGCATCCCTGGAAACCCATCAGTCCCAGGCAAACCAAGATGGCTAGTCATCTTAAGTTATATGAAAGCTATTTCCATTGCTAGCATTCAAGCAGGCATTTCCTCTGCTTTGGGTGTTGCCCTGTAACTCAGTGTTACAAACATATCATGGAAAATTATAGGGAACATCTACTTTCCAGTTGAACAGCACAATTGCTGGATCATATGGTAGCAGCATGGTTAGTTTTATAAGAAAACACCAAACTGCCCTTCAAAGTGGAAGCACCATTTTGCCTTCCCACCAGCAATCAATGAGAGTCACTCTTCCTCACCAACATTTGGTGCTGTCAATGTTTTGGATTTTGGCCATCCTAATAGGTATGACTCCTCATTGTTTTAATTTGCATTTCCCTGCTAACATATGATGTGGAGCATCTTTCCTATGCTTATTTTCTGTCTATTTTCTTTGCTAAGGTTATGGTCTTGTTATGGTCTTGGGGTCATTTTTTAAATAGAGTTATTTGTTTTCTTATTGTTGGATTTTAAGAGTTCTTTATATATTTTGGATAACAGTTCTTTAACAGATATGTCCTAATTCCCAGAGGGTAACAAGAAGACTTTCTAAAGTTTTGCTTCAGTCAAATGATGCTAATGTGTTGTTCTGAGCCACAGAACTTGTTCAATTCAGTTCACTTTAACTGAAAGTATGTAACATGGAAGTACAGAGGGCAGTAGGACTTGGTGATGGCAGAGTAAGGAATCTATAGTCCACTTTTATAGTTATTTTGAGAAGCGTCTGCAGTAACGCTCAGTGGAAGGTAGGAAGTGGAATGGGTGCACAGGAAGATCTTTGTGGTTACATCTTTTACAGGCAAACCCATCCTAGCAGCAAGGGGAGCCTCCACATTGTAACCTAATCTGGAGGTGTGTTAAGCATTAACACGGGAAGGCTTAATCTGCAGGGGGGACTCCCCAGCACGCTGAAGGCTGAACCCTGGGGAAATTGTGTATGAGCTCCAGCTGGAAAACACATATGGAAGACGAACAAGTTTATCTTTGCAAACTCTGTTTACAAACAAGGTGCATTTGTTCTCCACACAGTTTGTCTTTGCCACTGGCACTTGAGGACTCCAGTTTCAGTTTCAGAACTACAACTTTGAGTCACCCCCAAAATTGTGTATAGTTGCTTGCCAAGTTTCTTCCTTTTAAGGTAATCACCTTGGCCCAGAGTAGAGGAACTGGGATGCATTCATTCACTCAGAAGTGTATTCCAAGATGTATTGGATGAGCTCTATGTTCCAGGACATGTACCAAAGACACACAAAATGCAATTACACACTCTCTCTACCCCTAAAAGTCATCTGATAATTCATAGCAACCAAAAATGTTAACACAAGACACGTAATGCCATGAAAGGGAGCTATCAGGAATAACATCAGAAGAGAGTGGGAAGTAATCAGAAAGACTTGATAAACTTAGTAGTTTATGAGCTAGGCTTGAAAGGATGAACATGATTTCAACTAAAAAGAGTCAGAGTCCAGAGAAGGCTGTTGGAATAGACAGTAAAAGCATTGAAAGGAAAGCAGAGGGTGAGAGAAGAATGAATCATTCAGTTAAACACAGGCTACAAGTATAGTGTGAGAGAAATCCATCAAGAAAAGTAGACTAGAATCAAATCAGACAGGTCCAAGAATGCCAACCTGTTGAGGTTATAACAGGGACCTGGGGATACAGGAGTAAGCAAAGCAGACACAATTTCCCGCCTTCATGGAGCTTACATTAGAGAGAAGGACAGAGTGCCTTAAGGAAACCAACTGAGATGAAGGGTGTAGATAAAACAGTGGTGACCATGGTTGGTGCCTACCTAATGCAACCTAGTGTTGAGCTTAACACTACCTAGTGTTAAGCATCCTCCATATGGTATGCCAAATCTTCACAGGACATTTTAACCACAGGATTCAGATACAGAAACTGAGGCTCAGAGAGGCTGGTGAGTCACCCAAGAGTCTCCTGGTGGCTGGACCAGAATCCAAATTCATGTCTCTCTGGCACCAAAGCCCACATCATTCTGCTCCAGGGGGATTGAGAGACAGAGAGAGAGAAAGGAGAGACAAGAAGCTGGGAAAGTGGTTAGATTTCTGCTTTTAAGAATCCAAGAGAAAATTGGTAAAGACATGAACTAAGACTCTGGTGAAAAGAAAAAGAGAGGGTGACTGTCATTGATGTGTAGTAGTAGATTGATAAGATTTAGTGACTTATTGAATTTGATAAGGGAAAAAAGAAGGTGTATCCCTAGATGAACCTATGGAAGTGATCCTGGGAAAATAAGAAAAGAGAAATCCATGAATAAAGTCGTGGAAGAAATGGAAAATTTCTAAAGACTTGGGCATCAAGGGAAGTTCAGCAAGTTCATTTAACCAATATTTATTATTTGTTTGATTATTTAACAAATATATATGCCAGCCTTTATCTCTTGAGTGGAGCAAGCGATGTGCTAGGCACTGGTCAGGCACTAGGGATAGAACCTAAAAACAAAGCTGCTCTCCTTGGTCGTGTGTCCCTGTGAGGAAGAGGAGCACTAAAACTCCAATCACACCAAAAATGTCTAAGGACAAACTGAGGCAGGGCTCTACAGCAGTGATCTCTAAACCTTCCTACACACTGGATTCACCAGATACCTATGTCCTACTTCCCCAGAGTTCGTGGTTTTAATGATCTGAGAGTGACCTAAGATTTGGACATTTCCAAAGCTCCTTCAATGATTCTAGCATGCAGACAAGTTTAGGAATCACTGCTCTAAAGCAGAAGTTGTCAAACTATGGCCTTCAGGCCAAATCCAGCCCACGGCTTGCTTTTGTAAATAAAGATAGATTGGGACACAGCCCTGCACACCCACTTATGCATTGGCTATAGCTACTTTCATACTACAACAGCAGAACTGAGCAATTGCAACACAGACCATATGACCTACAAAGCTGAAAATATTTACTATCTAGCCCTTTACACAAAAACTTTCGGGATCCCTGTTCTAAAGGAAAGGAATATGGTCTCAGAGAACATATAACAAAGCAACATGACCTAGCATAAGTGAAGGGGGTTGGGGGATGTAGTTAGGAAGGCTTTGTTGATATCTAAGTTTGTGTAGGAAAGGTGTACAGGAGAAGAGCAATGCAGACAGTGCAGACAGAAGGACCAGCAGGAGCAGCGGTCCTATTCCAGTTGTCCATTGCTATTTCATGAACCACCCTCAAAAGTTTATAGTTCCAAACAAAAGTCATTTTATGATCATCTTTCACAGTTGTAGGGGCTGAGTGAGGTCAGCAAAGCAATTCTTGCTCAGGGCATCTCCTGTGGTTGTAGTCAGATCAGAGCTAGGGCAGGAGTCATCTTGAAGGCTTCTTCACTCACTGTCTAGAGGATGATGCAGCTGTTAGCTGAGCCCTCAGGTGGGCTATGGACTGAAACACCTACTTAAAAGACTTCTCCACATGGTTTTTCTGTTTCCTCACCACACAGTGACTGGATTTCAAGAGTTAGCATCACAAGAGAACCAGCTGGAAGCTATGTTGCTCTTTGTGACCTACCTTTGTAAGTTACACAGCATCACTTCTCCTGTAACCATAGGGACACCCAGATTCAAGAGAAGGGGGGCACGGACATCGTGTCTACCTAAGAGGATCATCACTGTCACCTTCTAAGAAGTGCGAAGTGCCTAAGGGTTGGGATATGTTGTGGTGACCTTCTTTGGAAATACAATCTACGGCAAGCACAAGGGAGCATGGACTGCTCCCATATCCCAAAGTAAAAGGACATAGGAGATAAGGTCACAGAGATGGTGAGTCCAGACCAGGCCTGTTAGTCATGTTTAAAATTTGTATTTTTTTTCATAAGCCATGGGAACTTCAGGAATTTTAATAATACTGGTGTTTAACACATTAGAGTGGCTATGAGCACAAACTCTGGAGACAGACAACATGGGTTCAAATCCTACCTCTGCCATTTGCTTGCTGGGTGATGTTGGAAAGTTATTTATCCTCTCTGTGCCTTGACTTACTCATCGGTAAAATGAGGAAAATGGTTATTTTCTACAGCACGTACCTCATACAGTAGTTAAGAAGATCAAATGGTTTAATACAAGGAAGTACTTAGAACAATACCTGGCCTTTAGTGAACACTACAGAACTGTTAACTAATATTATTACTTGGTACCTGCTAGGAAGTTAGTGTCCCATATCTTTGTCTTAAAGTGGAATAATACTAGCTTTCAGGGTGAGTTCAGTGCCTTTCCTACACACTCTACTCAAGGGATGCAGGTAACTGGACCCTTTGTTTGTTTCATTCTAGATTTTTAATACTGGTATCCAAAGACCTGACCAGCAGCCCTGTGTCAGCATCACAGCTTTTGCCTTTAAGTACAGTGTGGCTCCTTCAGGGGGAATCCTACCATTGTGCTTTGACATTCAGCATTACCTGGTGGGCTGTGTAGATGAGGTTTCTTATCTTTTCTAGCTCACCACAGCTTCCCAAGTCCTTTGTCCTATAAAGAAAAGCACTAGGTCTAGCCAGCTTCCTCAGTTACCCTCTCCAGATTGGGCTCTGTCTTGGCACCTGTTGGGTCCTCAGCCTGCAATGAGTGGAGGCTGCCTGCCCTAAATTCTTATTTTCTAGCTAACTCCTTCTTATACCTCAAGATTAAGCTCAGGCAGAACCTCTTCTAAAGCTCTTTTTCTAACCCTCTCCCTGCTCCACCCCCATAGTACACCATTTGCATTTCTGTTCAAACCAGAACCTAATTTGTGTCACCCAGGGCAAAATGAACAAGTGGGTCTTATCGTTCAAAAGTATCAAGAATTTCAAAATAGCTACAGCAGAGCATTACACCAAGCATGGATTCCTTACTATTACAAGATCTAGAATGACTGAACAGGTCACAGGCCCAAGAAGTTGACCCTCATCAAAACACTTATCATGCTACACTCTAATTGTCTGTACCCCTAAACTTCTTCCACTAAACTAGGAGCTACTTGAGGGCAAAGATAGGATAGCATCTTTGTATCACTGCTATAATAAATCTTAGAAGATTCATAGCCAAATTCTATCAGATCTACAAAGAACTGGCACCTGTCCTACAGAAATTATTCCATAACATTAAGAAGGAGAGAATCCTCCCTTACCAAATTCTATGAAGCCAGTATCACCTTGATACCAAAGCCAGAAAAGGACACAACAAAAAAAGAAAACTACAAACCAATATCTCTTATGAACACAGGTGCAAAAATCCTCAAAAAAAAAAATACTAGCAAACCTAATTCAGCAGCACATGAAAAAGATCATTCACCGTGATCAAGTGTACTTCATTCCCAAAGATGCAAGGATGGTTCAACATATGCAAATCAATAAATGTGATTTGCCACATAAACAAAAGCAAAAACAAAGACCACATGATCATCTCAATAGATGCAGAAAAAGTATTGGATAAAATCCAGCACCATTTCGTGATAAAAACCTTCAACAAACTAGACCTAGAAAGAACATACCTTAAAATTATAAAAGCCATGTATGACAAACCTAGTCAGCATCATACTGAATAGGTAAAAGTTGAAAGCATTCCCCCTAAGAACTGGAACAAAACAAAGGTGCCCACTGTGACCACTTCTATTCAACATAGTACTACAAGTCCTAGCCAGACCAAGCAGGCAAGAGAAAGAAATAGTGGGCATCCAAATCAGGAAAGAGGAGGTCAAACTACCACTGTTTGCCAATGATACAACCTTATAGCTAGAAAACTCTAAAGATTCCACCAAAAGTTTTCTAGAATTAATAAATAAATTCAGCAAAGTCTCAGATTACAAAATCAATGCACACAATGCCCCAAATCAATTCCAGATATAGCATTTCTATATCCTAATAACAGTCAAGCTAGGAGTCAAGTCAAGGACTCAATACCATTTACAATAGCTACAAAGAAAATAAAATACTTAGGAGTATTTTTAACCAGTGAGGTGAAAGATATCTACAAGGAAACTATAAAACACTGATGAAAGAAATCATAGACAACAAAAATGAAAAAACCTCCTATGCTTCTTGATTGGTAGAATCAACAGCGTTAAAATGTCCATACTGTCCAAAGTGATTTATAGATTCAATGCAATTCCCATCAAAATCCAATGTCATACTTCACAGATCTAGAAAATACAATCCCAAACTTCATTTGGAACCAAAAAGAACCTGAATAGGCAAAGAAATCTTAAGCAAAAAGAACAAATCTGCAGGCATCAGATTACCTGACATTGAATTATACTATACATTTATAGTAACCAAAATAGCACAGTACTGGTATAAAAGTAGAGACATAGACCAATGTAACAGAACAGAGAACCCAAATATAAAACCACATAACTACAACCAACTGATATTTGACAAAGCAGACCAAAACATACATTGGGGAAACAATGTCCTATTCAACAAATGGTGCTGGGATAATTGGATAGACATATGCAGAAGAATGAAACAGGACCGCTATCTCTTGTTACATCCAAAATTTAATTCAAGATGGATTAAAGACTTAAATGTAAGGCATGAAACCATAAAGATTCTAGAGAAAAATATAAGAAAAATGCTCCTCTAAGCATAGGCCTAGGCAAAAAATTTATGATTAATACCCCAAAGGCAAACACAGCAACAACAAAAATAAATAAATAGGACTTGATTAAATTTAAAAAGCTTCTGCACAACAAAGGAAATAATCAACATAGTGAACAGGCAACCTACACAATGGGAGAAAATATTTGCCAACTATACATCCAACAAAGGACTAATATCCAGAATCAAACTCAAACAAATCAGCAAGAAAAAAACCAATCCCATTTAAAAGTGAACAAAAGATGAACAGAAGTTTTTCAAAGAAGATAGACAAATTGCCAAGAAACATATGAAAAAGTGCTCAACATCACTAATCCTCAGGGAAATGCAAATTAAAACCACAATGAGATACCACCTTAACCATGTCAGAATGACCACTATTAAAAATTCAAAAAACAACAGATGCTGGCATGGATGTAGAAAGAAAGGAACGCTTATATGCTGTAGGTAGGACTGCAAGTTAGTACAATTTCTATGGAGATTTCTCAAAGACATAAATGTAGCCTTATCACTTGATCCAGCAATCTCACTACTGGGTATCTACACAAAGGAAAAGAAATTATTTTATCAAAGAGACACTTGTACTAGAATGTTTATCATAGCACAATTCACAATTGCAAACATATGGAATAGATCTAAGTGCCTATCAATTCATGTGTGGATAAAGAAAATATGGTGTATATGTGCATACACACGTCATGGAGTACTACTCAACCATAAAAATGAATGAAATAATGTCTTTTGTAGCAAGTTGGATAGAACTGGAGACCATTTTCCTAAGTGAAGTATCTCAGGAATAGAAGGACAAACACCACGTGTTCTCACTAATAAGTGAGAACTAAACAATGGGTACACATGGCATAAAGAGACATAAAGAACATTGGAAACTAAGAACAGGGAGGGGTGGGGAGGTGGATAAAAACGTAGCTATTGGGTACAATGAACATTTTCCTGGTGATAGGCACACAGAAAGCCCTGACTTTAGCATTATACAGTATATTCATGTAACAAAAACATTTGTACTCCCTTAATATTTTGAAATAAAAATGTTTTAATTTGTTGTTAAAAAATATTGAAGAAAAATACACTAATAGATGAACTGATAACACTAAAAATAAACTAATAACAAAGGTTGGAAAATAGGTTAAAAAAAAACATGTGTCTTGAATCTCCTGTAAACCTTAATAGGGAATGGATTAGATTGATGGGGGAATTTGGAATCAGATGTCATGGTGCTAACCCACTGAGACATCTTGAGACCTTAGCAAGTTATTGATACTTACCAATCCTCAGTTACCTCATCTGTAAAATGGACAAAACTATGGAACCTGTCTCTTAGAGCTGCTATGGGGATTGAATGAGAATAATGCATGTACCTTGCACATACAAATTAGTTCATTAATAAGTATTATTACTAATTATTACACATACAAATTAGTTCATTATTAATAATTATTATGAATAATAATTATTACTAATTAGTTCATAATACTAATTATTACTAATAAGGATTATTACCAATTAGTTTATTAATTTTTACTGATAGTTATTGCTAATAATGTACTAATAATTATAGAAGCAGTCGAACTTGGAATGGTGTTTACTACTTTTCAAAGTACTTTCATGTTCACAATCTCATTTAATTTAAAATCCACTAATATTATTTTAAAGATGGAGAAGAAAACAGGCTTTTAATCAGCTATCTAGAAGACATGGGCAGAATATACCAAGTTAGAGCTCTTTACCCCATTCAAATTCATTCAATCCCTAATTCAAATTCTTTCCATTACACCAGGGGTGATATTGCCTTCAATGAATTAAATCTATGAACATTTTCTGCAGATGGTCCTTTTAATTACATAATGAAAATTTTATTATTTTTCTGACCACAGTGTGTAGTAAATGCTGTCATACGATTTCATACACTCAGAATTAAGGAACTAATGGGGTAATTTTGATCTTACAAATGCTACTGGCTCTTTAAATGCAGGGAGACACACACTCAGACATTCATTCTTTAATTTGGTGCCACTTAAAGGTTCACTGCTTGATGATGGGTATGAAATACAGATCCACAAATAATTGTCATGGGGGGGGGGGAGTAGCCCCAAGGTAAAGATAAAAGCTTCGCTGGACCTTCCTCCCTAGGTCAGCCGGATGGTCCTTAAATCTCACAGTCCTGATTTCTCACTA